CACGTGTACAATTACGAGGTGTGCAGGACGACTGACTCCAGAAAGAGTGACTGTAAGTTCGGCAGAGCTGGTAGTCAGAACGTGCTGATAATGGACCCCAGTTCTACAGGGACGATGCAGCGGATACAGAATGAAAAGAGCATCCTGGATGAACCAGACTCTCCTCTAGAGGTTAGAAAGCTGTTACATCACACGAACTTAATCCCATTGTTACAACATTTGAATAAATTAATTTGGTAATTTTTCAGCACCTTGGAGAGCATTATGGGGGATTTACACTTTCATTTTACTCCACGTGACAGAAAATGGTCAGTTTTTATCCCCTTACTTTGATTATTATTTAGTTTTTAAAAAAATGTTTTTTTTCCACTCATTTAAATTATATTCTGATATTAAAAAAAAAAGAAATTCAACTCATTTAAATTATATCCTGATAAAAAAATGTTTAACTAGGGCTACATAGTACAACAATTTAATCCCCGCATTCGTAAATTATTTCCTCATCTTTTTATACTTGTCCCATCTCACAACATAGATTATTTTACTGCAGTTTTGCTTTGTGAACTCATTGGGCCGCTGTTGCCTAGTCTGTTGCAGTTGTAGTATATTTATAGCAGTACCGCCTCTCCATTTCGATGTATTAGAGAGAAAGGGCAGGCGCAGACTGCATTGTCTTCTGTATAGTGGCCAATATACGCGACGAGGCACAACTGTCTTTATTTCTCTGATAATTTGAGGACTACTTTTGCTTCTTTTTTGTTTTACTGCCTTTGCCATCTTTCTAACGAATTTTACGAGGTTGCTTTTCCTTCTTGCCTTGACAATTCCAAACAATGAAACGGCAAGTACTGTTGTTTATTTTGATCGTCTGTCTTCGGTTGGTATTTGGACAGGTCAGTTACTCTATTCCGGAGGAAATGGCTAAAGGCTCTTTGGTCGGTAATATAGCTCAGGATTTAGGTTTAGACGTTAAACGACTGAAGTTGGGCAACGCTCATGTTTATTCTGGCGATAGCAGAGAATACATCGAGCTGAACAGCGAAAGAGGAGTCCTCCTTATCAAAGAGAGAATAGACAGAGAGGCGTTGTGCGGTGAAACAACACCGTGCGCTGTGCATTTTCAGATTGTCTTGGAGAATCCCATGGAATTTTACAGTGTAACAGTTGAAATCACAGATATTAACGATAACGCACCAACCTTTGAAAAAAATGAAATTAGATTCATAATTAGTGAATCTGCGGTGGTGGGGGCAAAATTTGATTTAGAACGAGCAGTGGATTCGGATGTAGGTACAAATAGTCTTCAAAGCTACATACTCAAACCAACTGATCATTTTTTACTTAAACTGCACAGCCAAGCGGATGGTACGAAGAATGTTGAAATGATTTTACAAAAACCCCTGGACAGAGAGAAGAATGAGTTTATTTCTTTGGTGTTAACAGCTGTAGATGGAGGAGAGCCACAGATGTCAGGAACAATGCAGATTCTCATCACGGTGTTAGATGTCAATGATAATGCTCCTGTTTTTACACAGCCGATATACAAAGGTACAGTGGCTGAAAATTCTGCAAAAGGCACGATTGTGACTGATGTCAGTGCTTCAGATGTTGATCATGGTCTAAACGGTAAAATAACTTATTCAATCACAAACACTTTAGATGACGTCAGACATATATTTGAAGTAAATGAGGAAAATGGTGAGGTGAGGTTGATTGGTCTTTTGGATTATGAAAAGAAAAGAAATTTTCAGATCAATGTACGTGCAAGGGATAATGGAGGACTGACGGATTCTTGTAAAGTGATCGTTGATGTGGTTGATATAAATGACAACGAACCAACGATTAAAATCATGTCTAAATCAACAATTATATCAGAGAGTGCCAACGCCAACACAGTCGTTACAATGATTAACATTCAAGACCCAGACTCGGGTGAAAACGGTAAAGTTCAGTGTTTTATAAATGATAAAATTCCGTTCTTACTGAAATCCACATCAAATAATTTCTATAGTTTAGTGACAGACAGTGATTTAGACAGAGAGAGAGCCTCTGCGTATAATATAACAGTGACCTGCTCTGATGAGGGAGTCCCCTCCCTCTCCAGCAGCGTCACTCTCACCTTACAGATCTCTGATGTGAATGACAACGCGCCTGTCTTTGAGAGGAGCTCATATGAGGCCTACATTGTAGAAAACAACACACCAGGCCTCTCTATATTCACAGTGAAAGCCAGAGACGCTGACTGGAACCAGAATGCCCGTGTTTCTTACATACTGGAGGACTCCTCTGTTAACGGAGTGCCAGTCTCCTCATATGTGTCCGTTAGTGCTGATAGTGGAGTCATCCATGCAGTGCGCTCTTTTGACTACGAGCAGATCAAAGATTTCCACTTCCGCGTCAAAGCGCAGGATGGAGGCTCTCCTCCACTCAGTAGCAATGTGACTGTGAAAATACTGATCCAGGACCAGAACGACAACCCTCCTCAAGTCCTGTACCCAGTCCAGACTGGTGGCTCTCTGGTGGCTGAAATGGTGCCTCGTTCAGCAGATGTGGGCTATCTGGTGACTAAAGTGGTGGCTGTTGATGTGGACTCTGGACAGAATGCCTGGCTCTCCTATAAACTGCAGAAAGCCACAGACAGGGCGCTGTTTGAAGTGGGCTTACAGAATGGAGAAATAAGAACTATCCGCCAAGTCACTGATAAAGATGCAGTGAAACAAAGATTGACTGTTATAGTGGAGGACAACGGGCAGCCCTCTCGTTCAGCTACAGTCATTGTTAACGTGGCGGTGGCGGACAGCTTTCCTGAAGTGCTGTCGGAGTTCACTGACTTTACACACGAAAAGGATTACAATGACAATCTGACTTTTTACTTAGTGTTGGCTCTGGCTGTAGTTTCCTTCCTCTTCATCACGTGTTTAGTGGTTATTATATCAGTGAAAATCTACAGATGGAGACAGTCTCGCATCCTGTATCACTCCAGTCTCCCTGTGATTCCATATTATCCACCACGTTACTCAGACACTTTGGGGACAGGGAATCTCCAGCACGTGTACAATTACGAGGTGTGCAGGACGACTGAATCCAGAAAGAGTGATTGTAATTTCGGCAGAGCTGGTAGTCAGAACGTGCTGATAATGGACCCCAGTTCTACAGGAACGATGCAGCGGACACAGAATGAAAAGAGCATCCTGGATGAACCAGACTCCCCTCTAGAGGTTTGACTAACTGTTCTTTTGCTCAAACTCAAAATTAAATGTATTTATCCAGTGATGTCATTTACAGCCCATACCGTTTCAGTACCTTGGACAGCGAAAGAACAATCCCTCTTGTTTTATTTTTTGTTGTTTTTTTTCTTTATTTATATGTTCGTTTTAAATATAAGTATCTTTCCATCATTCACTTTAGATCAAGTATTTGTTTGGGGAACATATCGTGCTATTTAACACCGCACAATAAAACAGAAACAGTAGTCTGTGTTGTTTGGTAGTTTATTCAGTAACCAGACAAGAAACAACAGAGGCAACTGTATTTTTCTCTTTAACTCGTGTAGTTTCATGTTGTGAACTCAGTGGGCCGCTGTTGACCAGCGTCTCGACGTTTTATTACACATTTATACTAGAACACCCCCTTGTCTCCTCATAAGCGTGAAGGACTCTGAAACATAAACGCACAGTCGCCGGTGGATGAAACACAATGCATGGAATATCAAGCTGGAATAATTTTACCGTCAGTTGTTGGTTAAACTGACACTTAGGGGATTTCATTTGCATCAGTACCGCTGATATCAAAAGAGAGGAGTAAACGTTAGTTTGTTTCGACGGAGATGTCTGACAGAACAATGAGACGGCAAGTACTGTTGTTTTTCTCGGTCATCTGTCTCAGTTCAGCCCTCGGACAGGTCAGCTACTCTATTCCCGAGGAAATGGCTAAAGGCTCCTTGGTCGGTAACATAGCTCAGGATTTAGGTCTGGAAGTTAAACGGCTTCAAGCGCGTAGAGCTCGTATTCACACGGGAGACAGCGCCGAATACATACAGCTTAACAAGGAAAAAGGACTCCTCATTATCAAAGAGAGGATAGACCGCGAAGCTCTCTGTGGCCAGACAACGCCTTGCGCGTTGCATTTCCAGATTGCCTTAGAAAGCCCGATTGAAATATTCCCGATTACTGTTGAAATCACAGATATCAATGACAACGCTCCTACATTCCAAAAGGAAGAGAAAAACATTGAAATCAGCGAGTCTGCGGTCATCGGCTCTAAATTCATGCTAGAGAATGCAATAGATCCTGATATCGGGCTGAATGGTCTTCAGAGTTATACACTAAAGCCCAATGATAATTTTATAACTAAATTACATAGTCAATCTGATGATTTTAAAAAGGTAGAGATGATTTTACAAAAACCTCTGGATAGAGAGAAACAGGAGTTTACATCATTACTGTTGACGGCTGTAGATGGAGGAGAGCCGCAAAGGTCTGGCACTATGCAGATTCATATTACTGTGCTAGACGTGAATGACAACGCTCCTGTTTTTACGCAAACTGTATACAAAGCAAGTGTGAAAGAAAGTTCCCCCAAAGGAACAATCATTACCAAAGTGAGTGCCTCCGATGCAGACAAAGGCTCGAATGGAGAGGTTAGCTACACGATCAGTAACAGCATGATTGGCACTTCAAAGTTGTTCCAAATCACTGAAGATGGTCATCTTATATTAGAGGGGCCTATTGATTTTGAAAAAGCCAGGAATTATGAAATTTATATAGAAGCAGTTGATCGAGGAGGTCTGTCTGATTCAAGCAAAGTGATCATTGATGTAGGTGACATAAATGACAATAGCCCCGTTATAAATATGATTTCATCATCCAATTCAGTTGGAGAAGATTCCCCTTCCAAGACGGTGGTAGCTGTGATGAGTGTAAATGATCCTGATTCTGAAGAAAATGGGAAGGTCAAGTGTGTGATTGACAAAAATATACCATTTACAATTAGGTCCACATCCAGTAATTTCTATAGCCTGGTGACAAACAGTGAATTAGACAGAGAGAGAGCCTCTGAGTATAATATAACAGTGACCTGCTCTGATGAGGGAGTGCCCTCCCTCTCCAGCAGCGTCACTCTCACCTTACAGATCTCTGATGTGAATGACAACGCGCCTGTCTTTGAGAGGAGCTCATATGAGGCCTACATTGTCGAAAACAACACACCAGGCCTCTCTATATTCACAGTGAAAGCCAGAGACGCTGACTGGAACCAGAATGCCCGTGTTTCTTACATACTGGAGGACTCCTCTGTTAACGGAGTGCCAGTCTCCTCATATGTGTCCGTTAGTGCTGATAGTGGAGTCATCCATGCAGTGCGCTCTTTTGACTACGAGCAGATCAAAGATTTCCACTTCCGCGTTAAAGCGCAGGATGGAGGCTCTCCTCCACTCAGTAGCAATGTGACTGTGAAACTACTGATCCAGGACCAGAACGACAACCCTCCTCAGGTTCTGTATCCAGTCCAGACTGGTGGCTCTCTGGTGGCTGAAATGGTGCCTCGTTCAGCAGATGTGGGCTATCTGGTGACTAAAGTGGTGGCTGTTGATGTGGACTCTGGACAGAATGCCTGGCTCTCCTATAAACTGCAGAAAGCCACAGACAGGGCGCTGTTTGAAGTGGGCTTACAGAATGGAGAAATAAGAACTATCCGCCAAGTCACTGATAAAGATGCAGTGAAACAAAGACTGACTGTTATAGTGGAGGACAACGGGCAGCCCTCTCGTTCAGCTACAGTCATTGTTAACGTGGCGGTGGCCTACAGCTTCCCTGAAGTGCTGTCGGAATTCACTGACTTTACACACGACAAGGAGTACAATGACAACCTGACTTTTTACTTAGTGTTGGCTCTGGCTGTAGTTTCCTTCCTCTTCATCACGTGTTTAGTGGTTATTATATCAGTGAAAATCTACAGATGGAGACAGTCTCGCATCCTTTATCACTCCAATCTCCCTGTGATTCCATATTATCCACCACGTTACTCAGACACTTTGGGGACAGGGACTCTCCAACACGTGTACAATTACGAGGTGTGCAGGACGACTGACTCCAGAAAGAGTGACTGTAAGTTCGGCAGAGCTGGTAGTCAGAACGTGCTGATAATGGACCCCAGTTCTACAGGGACGATGCAGCGGATACAGAATGAAAAGAGCATCCTGGATGAACCAGACTCTCCTCTAGAGGTTAGAAAGCTGTTACATCACACGAACTTAATCCCATTGTTACAACATTTGAATAAATTAATTTGGTAATTTTTCAGCACCTTGGAGAGCATTATGGGGGATTTACACTTTCATTTTACTCCACGTGACAGAAAATGGTCAGTTTTTATCCCCTTACTTTGATTATTATTTAGTTTTTAAAAAAATGTTTTTTTTCCACTCATTTAAATTATATTCTGATATTAAAAAAAAAAGAAATTCAACTCATTTAAATTATATCCTGATAAAAAAATGTTTAACTAGGGCTACATAGTACAACAATTTAATCCCCGCATTCGTAAATTATTTCCTCATCTTTTTATACTTGTCCCATCTCACAACATAGATTATTTTACTGCAGTTTTGCTTTGTGAACTCATTGGGCCGCTGTTGCCTAGTCTGTTGCAGTTGTAGTATATTTATAGCAGTACCGCCTCTCCATTTCGATGTATTAGAGAGAAAGGGCAGGCGCAGACTGCATTGTCTTCTGTATAGTGGCCAATATACGCGACGAGGCACAACTGTCTTTATTTCTCTGATAATTTGAGGACTACTTTTGCTTCTTTTTTGTTTTACTGCCTTTGCCATCTTTCTAACGAATTTTACGAGGTTGCTTTTCCTTCTTGCCTTGACAATTCCAAACAATGAAACGGCAAGTACTGTTGTTTATTTTGATCGTCTGTCTTCGGTTGGTATTTGGACAGGTCAGTTACTCTATTCCGGAGGAAATGGCTAAAGGCTCTTTGGTCGGTAATATAGCTCAGGATTTAGGTTTAGACGTTAAACGACTGAAGTTGGGCAACGCTCATGTTTATTCTGGCGATAGCAGAGAATACATCGAGCTGAACAGCGAAAGAGGAGTCCTCCTTATCAAAGAGAGAATAGACAGAGAGGCGTTGTGCGGTGATACAACACCGTGCGCTGTGCATTTTCAGATTGTCTTGGAGAATCCCATGGAATTTTACAGTGTAACAGTTGAAATTACAGATATTAACGATAACGCGCCAACCTTTGAAAAAAATGAAATTAAGTTCATTATTAGCGAGTCTACAGTTGTACGGGCAAAATTTGATTTAGAACGAGCAGTGGATTCGGATGTAGGTACAAATAGTCTTCAAAGCTACATACTCAAACCAACTGATCATTTTTTACTTAAACTGCACAGCCAAGCGGATGGTACGAAGAATGTTGAAATGATTTTACAAAAACCCCTGGACAGAGAGGAGAATGAGTTTATTTCTTTGGTGTTAACAGCTGTAGATGGAGGAGAGCCACAGATGTCAGGAACAATGCAGATTCTCATCACGGTGTTAGATGTCAATGATAATGCTCCTGTTTTTACACAGCCGATATACAAAGGTACAGTGGCTGAAAATTCTGCAAAAGGCACGATTGTGACTGATGTCAGTGCTTCAGATGTTGATCATGGTCTAAACGGTAAAATAACTTATTCAATCACAAACACTTTAGATGACGTCAGACATATATTTGAAGTAAATGAGGAAAATGGTGAGGTGAGGTTGATTGGTCTTTTGGATTATGAAAAGAAAAGAAATTTTCAGATCAATGTACGTGCAAGGGATAATGGAGGACTGACGGATTCTTGTAAAGTGATCGTTGATGTGGTTGATATAAATGACAACGAACCAACGATTAAAATCATGTCTAAATCAACAATTATATCAGAGAGTGCCAACGCCAACACAGTCGTTACAATGATTAACATTCAAGACCCAGACTCGGGTGAAAACGGTAAAGTTCAGTGTTTTATAAATGATAAAATTCCGTTCTTACTGAAATCCACATCAAATAATTTCTATAGTTTAGTGACAGACAGTGATTTAGACAGAGAGAGAGCCTCTGCGTATAATATAACAGTGACCTGCTCTGATGAGGGAGTCCCCTCCCTCTCCAGCAGCGTCACTCTCACCTTACAGATCTCTGATGTGAATGACAACGCGCCTGTCTTTGAGAGGAGCTCATATGAGGCCTACATTGTAGAAAACAACACACCAGGCCTCTCTATATTCACAGTGAAAGCCATAGATGCTGACTGGAACCAGAATGCCCGTATTTCTTACATACTGGAGGACTCCTCTGTTAACGGAGTGCCAGTCTCTTCATATGTGTCCGTTGTTGATAGTGGAGTCATCATTCAGTGCGCTCTTTTGACTACGAGCAGATCAAAGATTTCCACTTCCGCGTCAAAGCGCAGGATATCGAGGCTCTCCTCCACTCAGTAGCATGTGACTGTGAAAAGGACCAGAACGACAACCCTCCTCAGGTTCTGTACCCAGTCCAGACTGGTGGCTCTCTGGTGGCTGAAATGGTGCCTCGTTCAGCAGATGTGGGCTATCTGGTGACTAAAGTGGTGGCTGTTGATGTGGACTCTGGACAGAATGCCTGGCTCTCCTATAAACTGCAGAAAGCTACAGACAGGGCGCTGTTTGAAGTGGGCTTACAGAATGGAGAAATAAGAACTATCCGCCAAGTCACTGATAAAGATGCAGTGAAACAAAGACTGACTGTTATAGTGGAGGACAACGGGCAGCCCTCTCGTTCAGCTACAGTCATTGTTAACGTGGCGGTGGCGGACAGCTTTCCTGAAGTGCTGTCGGAGTTCACTGACTTTACACACGACAAGGAGTACAATGACAACCTGACTTTTTACTTAGTGTTGGCTCTGGCTGTAGTTTCCTTCCTCTTCATCACGTGTTTAGTGGTTATTATATCAGTGAAAATCTACAGATGGAGACAGTCTCGCATCCTGTATCACTCCAATCTCCCTGTGATTCCATATTATCCACCACGTTACTCAGACACTTTGGGGACAGGGACTCTCCAACACGTGTACAATTACGAGGTGTGCAGGACGACTGACTCCAGAAAGAGTGACTGTAAGTTCGGCAGAGCTGGTAGTCAGAACGTGCTGATAATGGACCCCAATTCTACAGGAACGATGCAGCGGATACAGAATGAAAAGAGCATCCTGGATGAACCAGACTCTCCTCTAGAGGTTGGTTATTTGGAGTTCATTCCACCTGTAATTTGTGTGTCACATGTAATGTATGAAGCTATAAAATTTTGCCGTGAATAAAAAATCTGCAATCAGCACCATGGACAGAGACAGTGTTAGCGACTAAAAGCAGGCCGTTCCCTAGAGGTTAAATCTTACTAGATATTAAGCTAATTGTCATTTTAAAAAATGATTATTTCATGTCAACCCTTCATATGATAGTTAAAAATTTAAATCGATTTGTATTCTCTCTAGTTTCAAGAAAAAAAACTATAGGTAATAAGAGGTGTTGTAATTTCAACTTGCACCGTCTCAAATACACCCTCACCCGTCGCCTTCTTCTCTATTTAAACTATTTATCTCTTGATTTCTTAATCTTACCAGAATCTTTTTTTCCATATGTTTTAATTCTGTCTCACAATTACTAGTCATATGGTTGTTATTGGTATTTCTCGTGTAATTTTGACTTTGAACTCAGAGGGACGCTGTTGACCAGTATGTATCAATTTTACAGCAGATATGTTGTGGTTCCTCCCATCAACTCCGTGTATTTGAGCTAGAGGCGAGACGGGGAGATACAATGAAGCACACACACGGGGGATCTAACAGAAATCAAACATGGAGTTATTGAACGGCTATTTCTTCCTTCTCTTAGCGGATTTTAAGACTATGTATTGACAGCGGATTTATGACAAGCACATATAACAGGTGACTGAAAGGTTACGCAAGGATTTTATGCTAAGACGATGTCGGACATAACAATGAAACGGCAAGTACTGTTGTTTATCTCAATCGTCTCCTTCAGCTCGGTGCTCGGACAGGTCAGCTACTCTATTCCCGAGGAAATGCCTAAAGGCTCTTTCGTTGGCAACATAGCCCAGGACTTAGGTTTAGATGTCAAAAGACTACTGTCCGGGAAGGCTCGCGTTTTTACACGAGATAGCACAGCATACGTCGAACTAAACAGAGAACTGGGAGTCCTCCTGATTCAAGAGAGAATAGACAGAGAGGGGCTCTGTAGACAAACGACGCCATGTGCTTTGCATTTTCAGATTTTATTGGAAAATCCAATGGAATTCTACAGTATCACTGTTGAAATCACAGATATAAATGATAACCCTCCGACCTTCATCACGGACAATGTTCAATTTAATATCAGCGAGTCTGCGCTTAGTGGCACTACATTCAATTTAGATAGGGCTTCTGATCTTGATGTAGGGGGAAATGGTTTAAAAACATATGTCTTGAAACCAACTGATATATTTTCTCTGAAAATGAATAATCAAGGAGATGGCAGTAAAAATGTTGAGATGGTTTTGAATTCACCGCTGGACAGGGAAAAAAGTGAACACCTTTCTTTAGTTCTGACGGCGGTGGATGGCGGCGAGCCGCAGATGTCAGGAACAATGCAGATTCACATCACCGTTTTAGACGCTAATGACAATGCCCCTGTTTTCACACAGTCTTTTTACAAAGCCTCTATTAAAGAAAATGCACCAGTAGGAACAGCTGTACTGACAGTTACTGCCAAAGATGCAGACCACGGATCTAATGGTAGGATAACGTATTCAATTTCAAGTATGCTAGATCATACCCGTGGAATGTTTGAAATAAATAAGGAAAGTGGCGACGTCACCTTGAATGGAAAACTTGACTATGAAAAGGCAAGAAATTTTCAGGTTAATATTCGCGCAAGTGATGATGGAGGACTGACTGGTTCTTGCAAACTGATAGTTGATGTATTAGACATGAATGACAACCGCCCTGATATTCATATTATGTCGAAAACAAATTTAATATCGGAAGACGCAAAACCTAACACTGTCGTGACAATGATAAACGTGGAGGATGCAGACTCTGCTGAAAATGGAAAAGTCCAATGCGTCATTAATGATAATAACAATTTCATGTTAAAGTCAACAACTAATAATTTTTATAGCTTAGTAACAGATAGTGATTTGGACAGAGAGAGAGCTTCTGAGTATAATATAACAGTCACTTGCTCTGATGAGGGAGTGCCCTCTCTCTCCAGCAGCGTCACTCTCACCTTACAGATCTCTGATGTGAATGACAACGCGCCTGTCTTTGAGAGGAGCTCATATGAGGCCTACATTGTAGAAAACAACACACCAGCCCTCTCTATATTTACAGTGAAAGCCAGAGACGTTGACTGGAATCAGAATGCCCGTGTTTCTTACATACTGGAGGACTCCTCTGTTAACGGAGTGCCTGTCTCTTCATACGTGTCCATTAGTGTTGATAGTGGAGTCATCCATGCAGTGCGCTCTTTTGACTACGAGCAGATCAAAGATTTCCACTTCCGCGTCAAAGCGCAGGATGGAGGCTCTCCTCCACTCAGTAGCAATGTGACTGTGAAAATACTGATCCAGGACCAGAACGACAACCCTCCTCAGGTTCTGTACCCAGTCCAGACTGGTGGCTCTCTGGTCGCTGAAATGGTGCCTCGTTCAGCAGATGTGGGCTATCTGGTGACCAAAGTGGTGGCTGTTGATGTGGACTCTGGACAAAATGCCTGGCTCTCCTATAAACTGCAGAAAGCCACAGACAGGGCGCTGTTTGAAGTGGGCTTACAGAATGGAGAAATAAGAACTATTCGCCAAGTCACTGATAAAGATGCAGTGAAACAAAGACTGACTGTTATAGTGGAGGACAACGGGCAGCCCTCTCGTTCAGCTACAGTCATTGTTAACGTGGCGGTGGCGGACAGCTTCCCTGAAGTGCTGTCGGAGTTCACTGACTTTACACACGACAAGGAGTACAATGACAACCTGACTTTTTACTTAGTGTTGGCTCTGGCTGTAGTTTCCTTCCTCTTCATCACGTGTTTAGTGGTTATTATATCAGTGAAAATCTACAGATGGAGACAGTCTCGCATCCTGTATCACTCCAATCTCCCTGTGATTCCATATTATCCACCACGTTACTCAGACACTTTGGGGACAGGGACTCTGAAGCACGTGTACAATTACGAGATGTGCAGAACGACTGACTCCAGAAAGAGTGACTGTAAGTTCGGCAGAGCTGGTAGTCAGAACGTGCTGATAATGGACCCCAATTCTACAGGGACGATGCAGCGGATACAGAATGAAAAGAGCATCCTGGACGAACCAGACTCTCCTCTAGAGGTTAGAATTTTCTAGCTGTCTGTTCCTCTGTTGAAATCACGCCCTTAAATCACTTTCCTCTTAATTTCAGCACCTTGGAGAGCGACATGATTCCATGTTTAAAACCATTTTTCCAGTTAGTTTTGTTTCGACTTTTTAAGGTGTCATCTATATTTTACAAAATTTAATTTACATCCAACATTTACATGCCCTGTTCCTTATTTAGGTTCCAGTGAGTTTCTCGGTTAACTGTTGTGTCACACAGCACTGCGAACTCACAGGAGATCTTTTTCTCTTTTTTTTATTCTCAATCTGAGCATGTCGATTTGTTGTGTGCATTTCAGCTGCAATTTGACTTTATGAACTCAGAGTGCCGCTGTTGGCCAGTTTGTATGAGATTTTCCGCAGACTCTTTGTCCCTCCCATCATGTCTTTATTTTAGAGAGAGAAGGAGTCAGAAGCAAAGCGCCCCATCCGGAATTTACCGAAGATACAGGACGTCGAATCCTTTTTCGTGTCGGGAATATATTTTGAAACCCTTGTTGACTTTTAAATTTGGGAAGACTAATGTCCAAAAGGCGTCGATTGTTTACACTGGGATAACGTCGGACAGAACAATGGGAGGGCAAGTACTGTTGTTTTTGTCGGTTCTGTCTCTCAGCTCGGTGCTCGGACAGGTCAGCTATTCCATTCCTGAGGAAATGCCAAAAGGTTCTCTAGTTGGAAACATGGCAAAGGATTTTGGCTTAGATGTTAAAAGACTAAAATCTGGTAAAGCTCGCATTTTTACTCCAGACAGTGACGAATATATTGAGCTGAATAACGAAAGAGGAGTCCTCCTTATCAAAAATAGAATAGACAGAGAGGCACTCTGTGGACAAAAGACGCCTTGCGCTTTGCATTTTCAGATTATATTAGAGAATCCGATGGAATTTTACAGTGTGACTATTGAAATCACAGATGTTAATGATAACCCTCCATCCTTCGAAAAGAACGACGTCAGATTTAAAATCAGTGAATCCGCTGTTAGTGGGGCTAAATTCATATTAGATCGTGCAGTTGATCCTGATGTAGGTTCAAATGGACTGCAAACATATCGACTTGAACCACGAGACAATTTTATTGTTAAATTACATGATCAAGCAGGTGGAACGAAAAATGTGGAAATGGTTTTAGAGAAACCTCTTGACAGAGAAAAGCATGAACACCTGTCTTTAGTTCTGACGGCGGTAGACGGGGGAGAGCCGCAGATGACAGGAACAATGCAGATTCTGATCACTGTTTTAGACGTGAATGACAATGCTCCTGTTTTTACACAGCCCATTTATAAAGCCTCCATTAAAGAAAATGCACCAGTAGGAACAGCTGTACTGACAGTTATTGCTACAGATGCAGATCATGGATCTAATGGTAGAATAACTTATTCAATTTCAAGTATCTTAGATCATGCACGTGGGTTATTTGAAGTGAATGATGAAAGTGGTGAAATTCGGCTGAAAGGAAATGTTGACTATGAAAAAGCTCGAGCATTTCAGATAAACGTTCGTGCAAGTGATGATGGAGGACTAGTTGACTCCTGCAAAGTGATGATCGATGTCACTGATATGAATGACAATAAACCCGATATTCATATAATGTCAAAATCAAACATAATATCAGAAGCTGCCAATCCCGGTACTGTTGTAACAATGATAAATATTCAGGATGCAGACTCAGGTGAGAATGGTATGGTCCAGTGTACTATGAATAATAATATTCCTTTTGTGATGAAGTCAACAACCAATAATTTCTATAGTTTAGTGACAGACTGTGAATTAGACAGAGAGAGAGCTTCTGAGTATAATATAACAGTGACCTGCTCTGATGAGGGAGTGCCCTCCCTCTCCAGCAGCGTCACTCTCACCTTACAGATCTCTGATGTGAATGACAACATGCCTGTCTTTGAGAGGAGCTCATATGAGGCCTACATTGTAGAAAACAACACACCAGGCCTCTCTATATTCACAGTGAAAGCCAGAGACGCTGACTGGAACCAGAATGCCCGTGTTTCTTACATACTGGAGGACTCCTCTGTTAACGGAGTGCCAGTCTCCTCATATGTGTCCGTTAGTGCTGATAGTGGAGTCATCCATGCAGTGCGCTCTTTTGACTACGAGCAGATCAAAGATTTCCACTTCCGCGTCAAAGCGCAGGATGGAGGCTCTCCTCCACTCAGTAGCAATGTGACTGTGAAAATACTGATCCAGGACCAGAACGACAACCCTCCTCAGGTTCTGTACCCAGTCCAGATTGGTGGCTCTCTGGTGGCTGAAATGGTGCCTCGTTCAGCAGATGTGGGCTATCTGGTGACTAAAGTGGTGGCTGTTGATGTGGACTCTGGACAGAATGCCTGGCTCTCCTATAAACTCCAGAAAGCCACAGACAGGGCGCTGTTTGAAGTGGGCTTACAGAATGGAGAAATAAGAACTATCCGCCAAGTCACTGATAAAGATGCAGTGAAACAAAGACTGACTGTTATAGTGGAGGACAACGGGCAGCCCTCTCGTTCAGCTACAGTCATTGTTAACGTGGCGGTGGCGGACAGCTTCCCTGAAGTGCTGTCGGAGTTCACTGACTTTACACACGACAAGGAGTACAATGACAATCTGACTTTTTACTTAGTGTTGGCTTTGGCTGTAGTTTCCTTCCTCTTCATCACGTGTTTAGTGGTTATTATATCAGTGAAAATCTACAGATGGAGACAGTCTCGCATCCTGTATCACTCCAATCTCCCTGTGATTCCATATTATCCACCACGTTACTCAGACACTTTGGGAACGGGGACTCTCCAACACGTGTACAATTACGAGGTGTGCAGGACAACTGACTCCAGAAAGAGTGACTGTAAGTTTGGCAGAGCTGGTAGTCAGAACGTGCTGATAATGGACCCCAGTTCTACAGGGATGATGCAGCGGATACAGAATGAAAAGAGCATCCTGGATGAACCAGACTCTCCTATAGAGGTTTAGTACCATGGACAGAGACACAACATCATTAGCATTACATCTATCTATCTATCTATCTATCTATCTATCTATCTATCTATCTATCTATCTATCTATCTATCTATCTATCTATCTATTATCTATCTATCTATCTATTTATCTATCAATCTATCTATCTATCTATCTATCTATCTATCTATCTATCTATCTATCTATCTATCTATCTATCTATCTATCTGGTTTTCCTGTGCTCTGAGAAGAAGACAGATATTGAACCACGTTTTATAAATTTCTGCAATTTCTTTTTACGTCCCTAAGTGCCGCTGTTGATTAGTTTGAGGAAAATAAAATCCCTTTCTAAAGAGAAGTCCTCCCTTCTCTGTTGTACAGCTTTATTTCTATCGGAAGTGGCTGTACAAAGACACCCCACTAATAAGCTCGCAACAAAATATTTCTGACGCGGTGTTTTTTTTTAAATCCATTTCGATTGTGCATGGAATTTTTCATGATGGGTGGAGGTTTTATATGTCCATGGAAGCTGTTGTTTCTCTGCATTTTTGTAGCAGAAGTAACCGTCGGACATGTCCGTTATTCTATACCTGAGGAAATGGCGACGGGCTCCCTTGTCGGGAATATCATTCAGGATTTGGGCTTGGATGTTAAGAGGCTGAAATCTGGGCGGGCTAGAATATTTACCGAGGACAGCAGTGAGTACGTCGGTCTTAATTTGGATAAAGGGACACTTGTAGTTAACAAGACGATAGATAGAGAGGAGCGATGCGGGCTAGTGTCTCCTTGCTCTCTGCATTTTCAAATAATACTGGATAATCCTATGGAGCTCCACCGCATCGACGTGGAAATCCTTGATATAAATGACAATGCTCCGGTTTTTGCCAAGAGGGAAATGAATTTTGAAATTAGTGAATTGGCTGTTAGGGGAGCGCGGTTTTCTCTTGACAGCGCCAGAGACCCAGACGTTGGGTTGAATACTCTCCAAACGTATAAACTGAGTCCTATAGATCATTTCAAATTAAATATGCTATCTCGACCTGACGGAACTAAATATGCTGAAATGGTTCTCCAGACCTTGTTAGACAGAGAAAATCAAGAGGAACATAAACTAACGCTAACAGCATATGATGGCGGCGACCCCCCTAAATCAGGGTCTGTTAAAATTAATGTTATTGTAATGGATGCAAATGACAATGCACCTGTGTTCGGCCAGTCTCTTTACAGAGTGACAGTTCCTGAAAATGCGTCAAGGGGCACTGTCATTTTAAAGGTTAGTGCCACGGATGCTGATAAGGGAACAAACGGAGAGTTAGTGTATTCATTCTCGCAAAATACAGACATTACATCATCTGTGTTTAATATAGATTCCCACACCGGGGAAATGACCGTGGGAGGTGAGTTAAATTACGAAAAAGTCAAGCATTATGAAATTGATGTAGAAGCTACAGATAAAGGAGGGTTGAGAGACACGGGCAAGGTGCTAATTGAAGTGACCGACGTAAATGACAATGCCCCTGTCATAAGCATCATCTCCCTCTCTAATCCCATACCAGAGGATTCGGCTCCAGATACAGTTATAGCTATGCTCAATATCAAAGACTTAGACTCGGGTAAAAATGGCCAAGTTAAGTGTTTTATTAGCCTAGATTTACCTTTCAAAATCAAGTCATCATCGACTAATTTCTATAGCCTGATGTCTGACGATGTATTAGACCGTGAAACAGTGCCTGACTATAACATAACAATAACAGCAATGGATGAGGGTTCTCCACCTTATTCAACAAACAAAACAATTCATTTAAGAATATCAGATGTAAACGACCACGCCCCAATGTTCCCACAACAATACCTGAATGCTTTCATCACTGAAAACAATTCACCTGGCATGTCACTCCTCTCTGTCAAAGCCAATGACAAAGACTCTGGGAACAATGCGCGCATTTCCTATTTTCTTGAGGATAGCCAACTGAATGGGATGTCAGCCTCGGCTTATTTTTCTGTGAATGCAGAGAGTGGAGAGATACTTGCTGTGCGGTCCTTTGACTATGAGCAAACGAAAGAGTTACATGTTTGCGTCAAAGCTCAGGATGGAGGCTCTCCTCCACTCAGT